GTTGTTCCATGGGTTCTGACCAGTTCCGATCTAGAACAAACTAGATATCCGGTCCGAAGCTAATTCAGCAACTTCTTCCTTGAGCTATAACTTATGATTGTAGCTGGCAGCGACCGTCCAAAAATAACCGTCCGTGCAGTAGTCATCTGGTTACAGCACAGCTGCCCAGCTTGTCCTGTGGCTTGCCAGCTCTTGATGTTCAAGCTCACCTGTAAGTGCAGTAAGTCCCATCATGCACAAGATTAGATGACCCTCTCAAAATGCGTTTGTTCCTCTCGGACCCTATTCCTTCCTCTTGGCATTGGTCCCAAATGAACTCCTTCCCCTTCCAAATGCCAAATGATTTCTTGCAGCAAATGCGCGCCTAGAATGAGCTGAACAAAAGCCCGTGCAAGGCCCAGTCTTGACGAGAGTTGGTCCACTTACAAACCAAAATGGTGAGTTCATGGGAGGGATGGTGGGAACTCATTCATCTATTTAAAACACTGGGATGCTTGCCGAATTATGACGGTAACTTCACCCAAAATATAAGCCAAGCTTGCCCTGCCTCAGTGAAAACAAGGCTGATCTTCTCGCGAGCCCAGAACTTCCTCAGTGTGAGATGCCGTGTAACTGGTTGACCCGGTCATACCACGGCAGGCTTAAGTTGTGCAAGATTTCGTCCATCAAAGAGCAACCAGCGACTACAAGCACACGGGTAAGAACCCCCACGCACTTCTTAGGACCAAATACCGCCTAATTGAGGTCTTGCGAGGGGACGCCCTGCCTGCAAGTTTGGATCATTTCCTAGCGACTGTCTCTTCCTTCAAAGCTCAACCTTTGTCAAACTGACATGGTAAATGCGTCCACAACGCACCAGCCTTGACAGCCTCGTGAAAAGACTGGCTAGCTAGGCTCGGGCAAAAGGGGCAGTGTGTCGACAAACGTGCTTGTGCCAGAGCAGGTCGACATGCACCTTATTTTTGGCCTGAAGTGGCAGAAGCTCCGCTTTGGCTTGCATTGACGGAAAGGGACTTTGTCTGGGCCACTTTGCGGAGAAAGCAAAGTCACAACACCAAAACGTGGATCAACTCAAACCACAACTGTTCTTCCCTCCGCATTGCACGTCTGTCCACAGTGGGTAGGTCGGCTGTCGAGTGGCTTAGGCTCGGCTCTGCGGTTTTCACAGGTGCAGTGGGTCGATGTTGGCGGTGTCTCCCCCGAGCACGCAGCTCCCATCAGCTCCCAAGAGAAAAGGGTAGTTCTACTGGTAGTTCTATAATATATAGTTCCACGATGTAATGATATGAGGTATGTAATATACAACATGTTATATATATATATATGTATAAATATATAATAGTATATTATACTGATTTATACCGTAATGTTATACTCTTTAGGGTCTGTTCGCACCTGATTTTTATCTATATTTCATGCCAAGCTTCCTCACCCAGTCGGTCTTTTCATCCGACCCGACAGCCGCGCTGGCCAACGTCACCACACCTGGGGCCAGCTTGACAAACGCCCGCCTGATAGAAGTGGAGAACAGGCAAGTTTATTAGATACAAAATGGTTTCAAATGGTACCCAAAAGCGGTTGCACCTATATATGTGATGTTGAATCTTTCAGCCAAGCTCAGGATATCTTTTTTTGCAGGTCAGCAGGTGCACTGAGATCAGGATGTTGCAACACGTTGTGGGCACTCTTGTGGGCTTGTAGAGGGTGTTGTTGGTCTCTTTGTGTCTGCTGATCCAGTGTTGAGGCATGCGTTTTTCAGGTTGAAGCTGCGGGGGAGAGCAAAAGGAGGACAGCCCGTGATGTGTATATATATATATATAGAAGAACTATATGCATAGAGGGGAGCATCCCACAGCCAAAACGATGCAGAATTCATCAAACATCCACCAAGTCTTATGTTTCACACAGCGCAGCCCTTGCAGCAAAAAGATAAATTTGTTTCATAGTCTGGTGTCTTGATCACCTGATCCACACAAAAAGGTCGATGGAGGATTTTGAGCCTTCTACACAGTGACATGAAGTGTTCATAACCTCGCACAACGGATGCCGGATAACCAACAAGGGGTATGTTTTGGTTTGTGTTCCCATGTGGGGTTCTCGCTTCCAATGACCCTTGGCTCATTGACCACACCGTGATGCATCACACATTCAAGGTACCAATGGCAATGAAGGTGAAGAAACTGGTCTTCCAAAAAGTGTCTGCCAGCACAAGGATCCTGAGTGTCATGGGCATTGGTCATCTGTGTGTCTGTAAAGGCCTCCAATGGGAGGGCACAGTGGAGCTGGGCGGTTTTGATGCTAAGCCAAGAACATGGAGGCTCCATGACATTAGCAGGTAGACGCCTTCAAGCTCGGTTGAGGTTGAGATAGCAAAACTTAAACTGACTTAAACATGTAAGGTTGGGATGGCCACAGTTATGCTCCAACTGAAGGCGTTTCAACTAAAGGGACAATGACCTGCGCGTGCTCGCATCCAGTCTTCAAACAAGTTGAAGGTGACAGGTAGCAGTCTTGAACAAACTTCCATGACCTATAGGGACACTGGCTCATTTAAGTGCAGAAATCTTGCCCATGGCGAACCTTTCACCCTCTTCTCCCATTAAACCTGGGACATCAGCTGAACTTTCCCGCCCGGGTGGCATATGGTATCTACAGCGCACGGCACGCGCAAATGCTCCGAAGGTCATTGCAAGGTTGAAGCAACCAAAAGCTCCAAGTTAGCCAAGCAAAGCCAGGTTTTGCTCAGGACAGAAAATACCGTGCACCCCAAAAATCACCACCAAATATGTTCGCAGGACACGTCTTTCACAACTGGTCGACGGTCCGTCCAAGTCCCATCTCCACTCGGTCCACCCGAACCGGCGATCGGCTCTGGGAACCGGTCTTGGTGGTCAAAGCCAAATCATCTTGATTAAAGGCAAAATAGGCCACCATGACCAGCACTCCTTGGTGTGGCACGGCACCCCCGGCCAAAAGGGCAAGAGTCTCAAGCTACAAGGTGCAAATTGTACGAAAGCATATGAAAGCATGGTACTGAGTACTGCAGCACTTGCAACCTCAATGTTGTGACATATCAGGACACCCTGCGTCCACGAATTGCTTTCATAAATCGGGACGCCCGTGCGCGTGGGTGTCCTTCACGGACTGACAAGCCAGTCAAACCCACATCCTAGCAGTTCGACTCTTGTGCGCAGCCGCCTCAGCCCAAGCTTCTGGGAAGCACTGCTGACAAGCGGCCAACAAAGATCGGGAACAAAAGAAGAAAAACAAGAGAGAACATGCCTTAGCAAGCAGCTTCAAAACAGCTTGTGTACAAAGTGATGGTAAGAATCCAGAACTTGGCCACAATGATGCTTGCCAACTCAACATCCGGTCATTTGACTGTCTACTGGGCCTTTGGTGGTTGAGTCGTGCCAATGCGATTCCAACCCTTTGCCTTGCAAGATTTACAAGGTCATTCGGCCACATGAACAAATCAAATGAGAGCACGATGTCTATCACATTCTATGACTATCAATCCATCATAGTATATATAGTGTATGTCAATGAGGGCATGCAGTGCAGCATGCGTGAACAATCCCACCATGAGGCTCTCGGCTGCGTGGCATGCAAACCTGTTAGAGAGAAGATTGAAAGAAGCGTTGCAACCTGCGTGTTTGACAGGGTCTGACTACAGCTGTCTGAAAGCCTCGGCTGACCGAGATCAAGTCTTTTTTTGGAGGGGGATCCGGGATGCCAACATAGGTTAATTAGTGATCTCGTATGATCTTGCCATGATTTGCATGGGAGAGGCTATACTGATACCATAGCCTGGACTGCTTGAAGGGTCTGCTTGTTATAGGCCATAGCTTGGTTACTGCTCTTCTGAACCACCCTTTGTTTCGCCTCGCTGGGGTCATGTGCACAAATTTGCAGAAGAGCGGCTTCTAATAAAAAACATTCAAAAACTCGCGTCAAAATCGCCAAGGGGCAACTTCTACATTTTCTGATCGCCTGAGATCGTGCGGAGGGGTTCTTCTGCATCGCGCACGGTATCAAAGCATCGGTGTGCAAACTCGAACCTTTCCGCCAAGGTTGTCAGTGCCAATCGAAAACCCAACGGTGCTGAGAGCACGACACGGTCGACTTTGTCGATTCCGGAGCGCTCATGACTAGGCATCTCATCGACTTCAACTTCCTGGCTCGGAGCAGGCTTTATTAGAGTTCTATTGGCGAGAAGTAGGTGATCAAGCGTTAAACGGCGAGAGCGGATCAAGGCGAGATGGGCCATGGTACGCCAGGACATTCCATCAAATTGAACCTGCATCAGCTACAGATGTGCTAATCCAGTTGTGGAATGGCCTCCAGGGACTGCAACGGCAAGGGCTGCCAGCCCGACATTTGTGGCAGCACCCTTCTTGAGTCGCTCAGCTCTGTCATTTGGGCACAGGTGGCTGCGGGTGCAATGAAAAGGAGACGAGCAGCTGAAAATCATCGAAATCAGTTTGAAGGATGTGGACATATTGTGAAAATACTTAGTGAACTTGTGAACCTGTGAACCAAGTTGGCCGGCTTGGAACGACGGAACCTATGCCTTGTAACGATGGTATAACGTGGGCAAATAAGCTCCGTCTCAGGGCAGCTGGCCATGATTTTCGCAATGGTTGCTTCTCTGGGCCACCAAGACTATAGCAACTGTTAGTACAGCTGACTGCTCAGGACAACCCTTGATCTGATACAAGCCAAGAAGTTCACCATCACGGTCACATACATATATGACGCAGTCGGGATTTGGATAACAAACGGCCCACCATGAAACTAACTTGGCTGGTCCGGGTGCTTGAGGAAATCCTGCAATGAGTGCAATCAAAGCTACACCAAGAATTAAACAAAGCTGTTTGTTCTTACACTTGTTGGACCTACTACGGTAGATCTACTAGAGCCCAGGTGCCTCACAGTTCACAGCACTGTCCGGACTGGTTGTATCACGATGCTGGGTTCTGCATGCTACTGCACCCAGCCTTGAGAAGAAGCAATGCAGCCGCAAAGAGTTGCAAATCAGTAGCATCACCTGATGCACCAAGTGGAGGTGTCCCTTTTCATATAGTTTCTCCTTCCATTGAAAAAGGCTCAATCGCCCACCACTTTATCTTTGTGCTAAGTCTTTCAAGCAACAAAAGTGGCTGCAACCCTCCCAATGCAACTTGCGCATCGCAGCCTGGCAAAACTTGCGGTGAGTGTGTCAACCTCATGGCGAGCATTCTCATGCAGAATACCGGCCAGTGGGTGAGTGCAACTGTTTCCCAAGGGTGCCTGGCATTCCTAGCCAAATTCTCACCATGCCCAATTCACCCACGGAGGCAAAAAGCATTCAATCCGCGAGCAAAACTCCATCCACGAGCGCTGCGAACTGTCCAGCAACACCCGCTTGGATCAGCTCTACTCGTGGATCTGTTCTATCTCGGAGTCCCACAGGAGGGGGGCGAGATTGCGCCAATTCTGCTACCCTATCGCTGAGTGGCTGAGTGCTGTGCTTAACCACTGCCTGGTACCAAGGCCTTGGCAGGGCATCAAAATCAAACATTGAGACAAGTTACGGGATCAAGCCATGTCCAAAAGAGAACAATAACGAGTGCCGGGTAGTCCAGCCAGGTGAGTCTAAGATGTTTTTGTCCCAAACATTGATGAATAATGATGAATAATATTATACAACTACTCAACTGACACAAACTGTCACAATATTCCACCCCAGGCCAATCGGCCTGGCATGAGTTCGGCCGAGCACCGGAAGAACTATGCTACTGTACAAGCAAACGATATAATTGTACAACGATAAACATGTAGTAGGTAGTGAATGGTATTGAAACCCTAGGGTGCGGGGATATATAGACATAAACAGAAAACTCAACCACGCTTGCGTCTTACCACTCATGCGTGCATCACCTGGTGTATTTGGGCACAGGACCGTGGCTAGTGAAGCTAGTGGTGATTTCGCTTTCTGACAAATGACAAAACTAGATAAAACTGGTGTGTCATGGTATGCCATGAGCCATGAGCTCCATCTGTGCGGATTACTAGTGGAGTGCCGCTACAGCAGTGCAGGGAATTGTACTGCTGTGCCTTGGCTGCTAAGCTCCCCGTGGCCCATGCTTGCATTGAAAAGGCCAGCATCAAAAGATATCAAAAGCATTGGCGGCTCACTCCCAGCAACCTGGGATGACCCTAGCAAACCTAATAAAGCACGAACACAAATCGAGCACTGGCAAACATACGCAAGGACTAGCTGCATCTGTTCTCACCATGCAAAACTAGCACTACTAGAGGACTAGATACACCAATGGTCCCCGAACAAGCAGAACCTGCGTCCAACACAGTCTCTGACGAATCTGTTTTTCAACATGCATATTTACCGAACGCATCCGAACACCACCCACCCCGACATCACGAGCTTCCCACCCTTGGTCTTCGACAAGCTACTCCGGGCTCCGTAGCAACTTTCTTAAGGCGCTCGGTGATATTGGTTCTTTTCCCACAGGGGTCAGCCTGGGCAAAAGGTCAACAAACGTCCGTGATGCATGGATTTGGATGTCAATGCACACCATGGCACACCTCACTGTGAGTAACATGGGTCCACTACACATGGGGCTGTGCTTGCATACGTTACCTCACCAAGTATATGCATATATATATATATGCATATATATATATGGCTAACGGTTGGTAAGCCGGAGGACCCCTAAGCTACTTTTGCCTAGCACCTCCACCCTGGTTTTTCAGCAGTCCTTTGTTCCACAGCTACCGGTGTCTCACGGGTTGACGGAAAGTTCTTGGACTTGCTGCTTCCAAGTGGCAAAAGTTTCACCTGTCTCAGCACTTGCTGCGGCTGCGAAACCTGCCGAGCGATGCCGGGGGCCAACCACAGCCAAAAGTGGTCTGTTGGTCACAGGCTTTTGGCAGTCGCCCCGGAGAACATCACAACGGGGAGAGGCTTAAATTACGTGATGAGTTGACCTTCATAGACCACATGTTTGACAACGAACAAGGTCATTGTCATACTTGTACACCATACCGCTCATGAATGCAACAACTGAGCCAAAAAGTCCTTCTATTATAGTCCCATTGCCGCTTGTATGGGGTTTCATGGTGGCACAAATACAACGGAGTCCGATGTCCAACGCTCACTCCAGTCTGAAGAATTCACGTGATGACAGTTGGGAGATCCATGGAGATCCTGATGAACGCACAAGTTGTGCAGCACCCTGGCGAAAAACAGCACGGAACACCCGCCGCACATCGGGCACATGGAGTCATCACCATCTGAATTAGGAACATGGCTCTACTTGCAACATGTCTTAGCTGAGAAGGCTGAGAATGCATCTCCGAAGACGTTGAAGTAAACAATACATCAGTGATCAGGTACCTTAACAGGATATCTTGTCATTGGACATCCCCAACGCAATTTACAGGAAGCTAAACTTCTTGATAGAACCTGGCTTCCGCGACAACTTGGGGCATGATGGATGGAAATTCATGGCCTGCCTCACCACTCCTCAACTGTGCAGGACTGTGCTGAACGGGCTGCAACTACACGTGCACGTGCAGTGTTCTAGCCCCAAACAAAAAGCCGTCCAAACACATCTTCAAATTGAAATGGCATGGTTTCCACACTACAATCCAGTATTTTCAAAAACAGGTAGGTGTCCAATGCGACACCCATGCAATTTTTTAAATGTTGGTGTCCCAAATGCACATGGTTTCACCTCCGCCACGTCTGCACCGAAACGCGTCTGCTGGGCCTGACATACCGTTGAGATCGGGCGGCTGACTGCCGACCCGGGACTCTCCACCGGCTGCGTTCCACTCGGCCCTAGCGAAGCAGGTGGCTCTCATGCATCTCCATGGAACGTGACCGGTGCATCCTAAGAACACCTACCTGGATGGTTAAACATCAAACATCCCCATATGGCAGGTCCCCATCAATCAACTGTCAACCTTCATGTGGGTGGTGGTGCCGAACAGGGCTGAATCCACGAAAACCCGCGTAAAGATGGAGTTGCCAAGCACATGTAAACCAACCCTCATTTGGTGTCGCTTGCCGAGTTGAAACCATCCTTCGCTGCGAACACCAACGCCCATCAACCCACTCTCTCTTGGCCTGAATCTGGCTCCATTGGATCCTGCAGGGGAGAAACAAAAGTCGGTGACTTGACTGGTGCTCACTCTCTCACCCTCCCTCTCCCTATCTTCACGGAAGCTCTTCCACCAGTCAGATCGAACATGTTGGAAAATGTTTATTGATTGGTACCATGGACAGGACATAGCACGCGATGACCACCTTATCCTATTCCATGGTTTTGGAAAACAGCATTGGACACCGGCGTGGCCAAATCACAATGTAACAAACGGCTTACACCTGTTGATATTTAAACGCTTGATATTTACAGTACGGGTTTGTACTCTTTGCATCGTGGGGATTCCGTTCTTCACACCGATCCGGGCCTCTGTCTTCACTGTGGTCCTGGGTTTTTGAACCTCAACCTGGCGCTCTGCGGCAGTCTACCCATGTTAGTCTCATTGTATGCCCTACGGCCAACATACCAGTATTAGTAAAGTTATGTACTGGCACGCGAAAAGTTATGCTACTGTTCTTACATAAACATATTGTATAGTAATTACATGTATTACTATGAATGGTGAGCAAAGCGCCCATCCTATACCATATGAAAAGGTGGGACTATATAGATTATTGACGGTTCGAGAGAAGGGACCCAATACATCAAACTGCAAGGTCATGGGAGTCCCAAAACACAGAAATAGTTCAAGAGTTCGCTGCTTGCAATGGACCGATTCGCATGCCTTTGTCCACCTCAAGGTACACGAGGCTGAAGAAGTACAAGGGGTTGAAGGCAACAAATGGGAACAGTTTATCGTTCCCCTGCAACAACGACAATCATCACTCAAATTCATTGCTGCGAGCCGTGGTGTGCATCGCGCTGCTTTCATGGGCACTCCGGCCCGTGACTCTCCCCGTGAAAAGAGGAAGGAGTCACATGCAAAATCTGCGAAGAGCGAGGAGAACGCATTGAGAAACATGTTGAAAAACCCTGACAATCCCGTGCTCACTCGAATTTCACCGTCGGAGCTGCCAAAGATTCAGATCCAACGCTCCCACCCGGGAACTGCTCAATTAAGGGTGATCTTGTCCGCGACGACTGCCGCACAAAGAGCTCCGGTGTTCCAAGCAGGCACGTGACCTCCAGGCAGTCTGCAAACGTGTTGTGGGAACCAAAACAGGCTGCATGCTGCAAGTCCGCCTGCACACAATCCCTGTAATCTATATGTATAAATAATACACACACACCTATATATATATATATTTACAGAATCATACAGAATAAAGACATACCATCTATACATATATGATCATATATGCATACTGTATACGTTCATTAAGGACTCTGTCCTCACTCACATACCGAATCGCACCAACTAAACCACTGCGAATCCAAGGGACTACCAGGGGCATCAGGGAATCGCTGCGTCGTGGGATACCCCAGCAAGATTTCCTTCGTCAGCTCGACGGTGGTTCCCCAGGTCCAAATCCTGTACTTGTTCGCTTGTTCATCACAGCTCTCCAAATACACAGCGTGGTTGCCTCGAACACTTCGAGCCGATCAAAGAAGGAGGGCGTTCCGAGTTCCACCCGTCTTCGGCCCGTCTTCCCGCGAGTCCCCGTCCCGGGTGAAGATCTAACAAAATAGTCAATCTAAAGTAGGATGTTGGTCAGTTAAGTCCTGACCCTCCGGCACTGTAGTTTTGCGGATTGGTCTTAGCGCCAGGAGAAACACACCTGGTGGCACTGCCATGTTGCATCCGTAACTCTTGGCTGGCAGGCCATAGTTGCCAAAGGCAGGAAGGCCTCTGTTGGTCGAGATGAGGCGTGTTTTATCATAAGCACTCCATCAAGCGCAACACTGGACTGTTCAAGTTCAAATCATTGACAACATATATTAATACATAAATCCCTGTGGCAAAGCCAGCTGCTTGAACTGAAACATCCTGCCGGCTAAGTGCACTTTGATCGTACCTGCGTAATCTCTGCCTGTCTATTGCTGCTGTATGGGTCTGTCTTACAACGCCAACTGTTCCAAACAAAACGAGCGGGATGTTCCTCTTTATATGTAGTAGTTGCAATACACTGTGCTCTTGGGTGATTGCATGCGATGCATGTGTGGCTACATTCTACACTACTCCAAGATTACGAATGATTATGAAGAGTGTCATCCATGCACAAGCTGTCGATGCTACAGTAAGAGGCCTTGCACGCGGAGCTGGTAGATGATCTCAGGATTGGAGAAGGCGATTTGCAAAACGGTGGCATCGATGATGAGCATGTTGATCTTCGCCTTGCAAACCTTCTTCAATTCCTGGGTCCACACGATATGAGGTTTATGTTCGCACAGACTATATGGACCACTGCTTTGGCGCATCTTACTTGGACAAGAAAAGACACATTCAGAACAACACGTTTATCAAAGACGGCGATGTGGTTGAAACATTCCAAATCAACGTGCAGCATCTCTCTCAACTTCGACTTAAAAATTGCCACTCTTAGGATCCTCCTCGCGGAAGGAAGGATAAGGAGGGCCGCCGATCTCGTTGAGCTGCAAGAATGAGATGTAGGTTTGTTTGGACAAGTCCAGCAAGAAGTTGACATAGTCCAAAAGGATCTTGTGCTCTGGAGCCTCTCTTGTCTTTTCGGGGGTGATTCATCTTGAGGGCCCCGACAAATTCCCCGGTCATGTGGCTACTTGGAATTGCTACAGAAACATCCGGGAACTACTGAAGCATGCTAAGAAACAGCCAGGAATAGCTAGGAGATTGATCAAACACACCTCTCATCGGTATTCGAAGAACACTACTCTAAGCACCCACAAGCCTTCAACACATATCCCCTTCGGCATACTGACGAGGCAAAGGAACATGAATCCCCAGAATCAAAACGATCTCCGATGCAATGGAAGCGGTTTCCAATGCCTTGTTAGTACATATTAGCAGCCTGGAGTGTACCCATTCATCTTCCCCGAATATAAAGATTGGCTTTATTTTTTTGACCATGAATTCTATTGGTCTTTGGAAATTGCTCATCGGCAACAAATCGTCGAAGAACCACGCCGCCAGGAGGGAGAAGCTGGTTGATGCCCGGACAACTGTTTCCTACTGCCTAGGCGAAGTTTACGAACCCCTTCCATGCCCTTGGAGGCCATCGCTATGAGGTTGGAGGCCATTGCTATTACTAGGTTGGAGGCCATCGCTATAACGACCCCCTTCCATGCCCAACGTGGTGTCTCATGTCACCTCAGATCGGTCGAGCGGCCGCAAACTCTTCCAGGAGCTTGGGAACCACATATTCTTGTTGGGCGTTGTATCCCAGGATGCCCTTCTCAAAGGCCTCAGAGCGGTACTTGATGATCTTGTCCTGGAAGATATCCTGCTGCAGCTCGAAGGCAGGTTCCATCGCCTGATGTGGCTGAGCGCAGCCCAAGCAAAGGTTATACAGTATAGTGCTATATATATTATCCATACAGTAGTCAGTAGACCTAGTTGTACTGTGTTGCCATCAACCCCCAACGGTAAGAACCAACAAAACGCAAAGGGCACCAGAGTATTCTGATATCTGATGCAGATGAGCGTCCCACTTCAGCTTGCAGGTCTTGTTATTTTGAGCTCCCAAGGGGCACACCTCAGGGTTCATCACCAGCTGGCAGCTGGAATCCTCACCAATGTCCAGCAAATTCTTGCATTCCCAGACCTGACGGATCATCGGAACGCCGTGGTAATCTCGTATCTGCAACCTTCAAAGCTAGAGTTAGAAGAACGGCACGCGGCACGCAGTACCTGATAGACCGTGATGAACCTGATTGAAGGCTAATCACTATGCCTATGCCTGATAAGACTCGTAAGAACTGCGGCCGTAAACTGGCAGCGACTGCTGGGACAGTCAATGCTTTCTTCCAAGCTGCCATACTGTTGTACCAACCGCCCTGGTTTCCTTGGATGCTTCCAGCAGAAATCGGGTGGTAACCATGTGTTGAATATTGTTGAATGCAACGTTGGCCAAACACATTCTGTCCCATGTAACATGTATAGTGAATCCCCGCAAGAAGTACACCGTTGCTATCTAATTTGCGCGTGCTAATGCGCTGTGGCGCGGGAGTGAGATATGTTGTTCAATAGGCCAATAGGCCATCTGAGTGGCCATCTGGAAGGATAAGCTGCTAGGTGGACGGAGGAGGAGACAACCCACTCTGGTAAACAAGAAACTGTAGATCGAGAATGGAGCTTCTGGCAGTTTTTGTATATCCAACACAGGGCCTCGCGCTCCGTCTGTTCATCACAAAGCACCCCAGCTGCTGTAGATGTTGTCGTTTGGGTTTGCAGGGCCACGGTGAATTAGGGATCCCTGCTGCTTTACCCCTGAGTTCGGCCCAAAAAATCTAGGAGCCAAATCATAGTGCGAGCGGTTTGTTGAAGGAAGCTCCCCCGCGCCACTGTAAAGGGGAGCTGCTAGCTTATACCTCTTCCTTGGATCAAGCTTCTGGTGGCTTCTGCAGCATCTGCCCTGCTCTGGCCAGGATATACGATGCCAGCGCGCACCGCGTTCGGAGCGCAATAGCCGTAGTTCTGCTTCATCCAAATACTGATCAAAGACTGCGTCCAAGAGAAGGTAAGACCAATATTCCTTGGCAAAAACATTTCACGCGTTCAGTTGGGCTGAAAGCTGGAACCCGCGTTGGCTTTCTGAAACCGATTGAGCTTTGTCTAGGCGTGTGAAGGTCTGTGTGTGTGTGTGCGCGTTCGCGTGCATGTACAATACAAATGAATTTGAAGCACAAATTGTTGACATTGTTGTAGCCAGCAACAAAACATGTCTTCCACCGTTGCTGATCTGATTGATTGCGTTGCGTGGGTTTGATGGTTGAGCTTTACGGTGCTGCTGGCCCAGATTCTGCTGAGGCCTTCCGCGACCTTTTGCACAATCCGCAGAATTTCCAAAGCACTGACCACCTACCATGTGTGTGTCTCAGGTTTGATCACAAATTGAACCTCTCTCCAAGAAATGGGGTGGACGAGAAGTTCCCAAGTGGCTCTCGTTCTTTTAATTGAAGTTCTTTGTCGAGACCGGCCATCCATCAGCCAAGACCATGCCCAGCCTGCAGCGCTGCCGTAGAAGTCTGGGGTCCAACCATTCCCGGTCTTGAAAGGAACCAGCCCCGGCTGTTGATGAAGAATGCCCTCACAAGGCTGGCCCAAGCCTGAAGGCAGCGATCCAACTACGCGGTTTCGATCCAACCTGCGTGGTTCGAACGTTGTCAAGTTCCACTGCTGGAGATGAAACTGCCCCCAGTTCGCATGCACAAGTAAGATGGATAGCATGGCCGAGCAGCAGTGCTGAAGGCGGAGTACAAAGGGCACCAACCGATCTACGACACAAACATCCTGCCATAGCATGTCGGGATACCGTTCCGAACCCGGTC